TATAATCCACTCTCGAGCTGGGGCTCGAATGAGGCGGTGGTTTGCTTAGGAGGGTCTCGATTTGTAGACTCTTCCCTTGGGGAAATTTCCAAGAATCATGTCAACTATTTTCTTGGGAGCTGGCGGTGGCGAATCTGTTTCCTTCTCAGGTGATCTTTTACGTTTTGGAGAGGTGTCTCTGGGACCTCTTTTCTGGTAAGGAGGTGGTTTTTTGAGTTCCACGTCCTTTAGTTCCCCAGCTACGAATTTAGCTGCCAACTGTCGTTGGAGGTCCCAGCATTCCTCGGTTGAATGCCCTTTTCGATCGTGGTAAGAGCAGTGTTTGTTCTCATCGTAGCCTTTTCATCAGGGGGTTTTGCTTGTCGCGGCAACAGGTTTTTCCTGTTGGACTTTCTCGACAGCATAAGAATGTTCTCCCTGGGTCTGATTATTCCGGGAGATCCCTTTTCTAAAGGATCCTTTTGCTTCCGAGGTTTCACCTTTCGGGTGATTCTGGGATTTCTTATGGATTTTATCCAGTGCAGCTGTTTCCTCCTCCAAGGTAATGTATCTCGATGCTTTGTGAAGGGCATCATCGATAGTTGGGGGAGGGTTAACCGTTAGCTCGGACCAGAATTCTGATTTGTACCAGAGGCCTCTTCTAAGGGCTTTGATGGCAACTTGATCGTTGGGATTCGAGAGCTTAGTTCTGACTGCTATGAATTTCTTGATGTAGATTTGTAACGAATCTTCTATTCCTTGCCTGATTTTCCAGAGGTCAGCCTCGGAAGCTTGCTTGAGGATATGGGTTGAGTATTGCTTCATGAAGGCGTTGGTGAGCTGGTCGAAGTTGTCTATTGAGTTTGGCTCGAGGCTTGAAAACCATTCGAGAGCTGTTCCGACCAGGTTCTCAGCAAAGGTTCTGCAATAACCTGCTTCGCATTCTTCTCTTGTGAAGTGAGCTTTCACTATAGCTAAGCGGAAGGCTCTCGAATGAGCCTCAGGGTCTGAGGTCCTGTCATATTCGGGGATCCTAATTTTTCGGGTATCTCTTATGTAAGAGTTAGCAATTTTGTTTGTGAATGGGGTTCCACGGGTTTCCTCAATCAAGCTCTCGATTTCGGGAGCTGAGCTTTTTGCTTTGTGTACTTGAGCGTTCAACTTTTGGAGAGCTGTGTGAGTTTGCTCCATGTATCGGCGAATAGCCTCAAGTCCTTCTAGGGGAAGGACGGTTGGGTCGTCATGATGGATCTGATGAGGAGATTCTTGACGGAGTCGAGCGTCGTCGTTCTCCCAAGCGTTAGGTGGGCTAAATCGCTCGCTAGCTCAAGGGCCGCCTTGAGGGACGCGCCTAGGGGGGTGAGCTGTAGGATCAGCTTCCGTCCTCGGGTGGCTGTCTCGATTAGGGATCGCGCTCCCATTTTGGTAAGCTGAAGCCGGTGCTCTTCCCCTAGGAGGGCAAGACATTCCTTCTCCATACCTAAAAACAGGTGGCGGAGGCGGTAATCGTATGCTCTGTTTGTGAACCCTATTGGGTGCAGAGCTTGTCGTCGCTACGTTACTTCCCATAGCGCTAGTTATAGGTGGACTGAATACTGGGGTTGTCCCAGTATGAGGTGTCTGGAGAACAGGCTCTTGCCCATCACGAGCAGTGCTGTTTGGGGAAAAATCCAGGCGTCCGCGAGGGAAGGTGGATTCGGTCAGTCGGTCTCGGAAGGTGACTCCCGATCCTTGGCGTTGCGACAGATGAGTCGTCTCGGTTAGAGATCTAGTCACTTCCTCGAACCGTTGCTGTCGAGCAGTTAGCTGCTGCAACGTGCGCTCGTTATCCTGAGCTCTTTCTACCAATTGCACCATCATTCGACGCATCTCGGATAGCTGAGCTTCCGAATGATTCGGAGCGGGTTGACGCTGAGGGTTTTTGGGGTGTGTAACCCCCGAGTTGTTCCCACTGGAAGACCTTGGGTTGGTTATTCCAGTTTGGTTCGGTTGAGCGTTAGCTGGAAGCTGTTGCTCGGATCGGTGATCGGCAGATCGAGGTTCCGGATTCTGGGGATCCGGGTCTCTCCTGTTCGGTGAGCCGTCGATCTGGATCACGGGATCAGGGATGGATGGGATCGCTGCCTGGTTGGATGGATCAATTATCTCGTCCCCTCAGACGGCGCCAAAATGTGAGGGGTAAAACTCACTCTCTAGTTTAGGTTAGGTTTAGATTGGGAAAAGACAATCGTGGGCTGAATCATGTTTAGAACTTAAAGAACGAATATGATTGTATTTGTTGAATAATGGCTATAAAGATGATTCTGATGAATACAAAGAAAAGTAGATGAATGATCTGCGAGTTACAATATATGTGAAAATTGATTGAAAACGAATGAATCTTTTCTTCTTCGTCTCCCCCATCTTTAAATAGCCCTAGGTCACTTTTAACTTCTCCCGATGAACCTCCGAGATTGCCTCCGTAAGTTGTGGGATTTGCAACAGCCTCCTCTTGACCAGGTCTCGCGTGTCCTCCTTGAGCTGTTTCTCGTTAGCTGTTTGTAAATGAGGTCCGGAGCCTTTTTCCGTGACCTGTTTTGTTAATGACCTTCCCATTAACAAACAGGTTCCGACTTTATTCAGTTCTTCTTCGAGGGATGAATTGTTAATGGGCTTATAATGTCCTATTAACGTCTTTCACTATTCGAGTCCATTATTTCAGCTAACGGACTAGATTTGGGCCCAACAAATACCCATCTCTTGCTTATCCTCTCACCAATTTTTGTGCATATAACCGTGCTCTGTATGAAGTGGTGTAATCAATCGCCATGCCAAACATGTTTTTCATTGAATCAGTGATATGCTGCGGAGTCAACCCATAAAGGATTCCAACACGATCAATGAAAATCCTACCAACATACTTTGGAGTACAGTGTCTCCGCTGAGCGATTCGGTCTCTCACTGAGCATGTATGTGTTTCCACATAATTTGTTACCCAAAACGTATTTGTCTCACGTTTCACACTCGCTCTGATCTTCTATCCACAACCACTAACCCGACATGTTTCCATAAGGAGAGTTTTCGTTGACTTGTATATTTGGAAGGAGAACTTACACCTCACTTTTGTCAACCGCAGCTCTGAAAGCAGTGCATCCTTGCTAACAAAACTCTAGTTGACTTAGATATTGTTACCATTCGATCTTCCTCCTTCAATAGCATATGGATTTTTGAAATCTTCAAAACACATATCATCATTTTCTTCCTCATCCTCATCTTTAATCTTTCCATAAACACTGTAGTCCTCACCATTATCGTCCAGTTCAGCAACAATAGAGAGATCAGCATCCTCCTCCCCATCATGATTTTCATCTTTAACCAAATCATCATCATCATCTTCAAAACATTCATCAGCCTCTTCCCATTCCTCTGAAACCGTTTCCACCTTGCTACGGCTTGATACACAAAGCCGTACTCCATGCGTTTTGGTTATCTCGAGCAATTTTTGAACTTGTCTATCACTTGTAACATGAATAAGAGGGGTGTCTGGATCCATCTGTTGAATCATTTCTGCTAGTAGTGAGTAGGTTATCTCCACAGATTATGTGCTCAATTCCAAGTTATAATCTTCTTCAGCCATTGTAACAAGTTCAGCATGTGTCGAACCTTCACTCAAAAAAAAAAATTCTCGCTCCTTTGAAATTATCAACCACAAAATCCCAACAGTCATCTTTGAACAACCATTCTCCATACAGTGCATGTAACTGACGCATCATCTACAAAAATTCAAAATAAAACACATTAGTAAACATAGAGAAAATGAATGTTTACTAAACATTCACGCAGACGACATACGAGTAAGTCGTCTGGAAGACTTAGATGACTTACCAGAAAGTTGTCAGAACAGGTCATTTTTGCAATTGGCTTTTCAATGGGACGACTTACTTCTCTATAATGACATTTAATATGAAACGGAGGGAGTACAAAAGATAGTCAGAATTCCAAATCTAAACTGTAAATGATACAATTATGAATCACTTTTTAAAACTGATATAAGTTTAACATCAATATGTAAAATGATAATAATACTTTAAATCACTTTCTTAAACATTATGATTATTACAATCACTTCTTACAAACTGATATAAAGTCAACATCAATTTGGTAAAATGATATAATATTTTAAATAGCTTGTTATAAATGATACAATTACTAGAACCATTTATGAGAATTGACATCAGTTTATATAAATGATTTAACAATTCCAATCAATTTTGCTAATTGACACTAATACTAAAATCATTTCGCAAAACTGATGTTAAAGTTAACATCATTTTCTTACAAATGATACTCTTTAAAGTCAGGTAAATGAACTGATGTAAATATATAATTTTATTGCATTAGTTTTGAATAAAATGGGTAAATTATTTGCACCACTTTCAGAGTCATTTATTTAAGTGATGTAAACAAATTTTTACATCATTTATAATTTAATACAATTATATAAAATAATAATGTAAACTAAGTCTTTTTGTAGTGATACTGATATATGTTTATGAGTTTTCATAATTTTGTCGATAACGTTTCAATTTCACATTTATCATCATTTCAGTTTTTATACTTTTTTATAAATTCAAAAATATCAAGCTATGAAAAATAATTTATAAAACTACACATGCATATTATGATAAAGAACTGAATTAATGCAGTAAATAAAACTAATCAAATTTAGTTTAACTAAAATCGATATATTTTATCTGATTATTAAAAAAAGTAATCTAAATAACATAAACTAAGATATTTTGATGAACTAGAAATTATTTATAATTTATACGATTGAGATGTTTATTTCATTTTTTCATAATTGTTTTTAAAAAATCATTTTTTCAATTTCTATATAATTTTGATTCTGTTAAAAACAAATCAATAATTTATTCAGACTACATAAATAAGAAAATTTTACTAACTTTAATCGACTAGATATTATGAGCATGTCCATTGCTCAAAACCTAGGATAGATTTTAAAACAAAAAAAAATGTTAATATTATATTTGTATATTTAGGTTTTATATTATTTTATAAAATTAAACCAATAAAAGGTAACATATGTGCGTGAATATCATCATGGTTTTTTCATGGTGCCTGTTTAAGAACTATTTTTCTTTCCTAAATTTTCATTTTTTTTTTAATCTTAAAAAGTGTGTTAATAACCTACCCTTAAAGATGTTCTTATATATCCAAACTATATGTTTAATTAAAATAATAAATAAATTTATTTAAAATAAATCATGCATATAATTTATAAAATAACTGAAAACAAAATTAAAATATTAATAATTTTATACTATATTTATCTAGAAACATTTATATTTGTGTATAAGTACGAAAAATAAAAATCATTTAGTAATATGCTTACATAAAATAATAATTAACTTCACTCTTCTACTCTCTCACACACTCGTCCAATGTTTTGGATTTTAATAGCTGATCTATGTGGGCTTTACTATTATATTTTGAAGGTTTTACCAGCTACATAGGTCTATAATTGACAGATTTTAAAATTCAACTTAATACTTGAATTGGAATTGTGACGGCATTGACGAGTTTACGGGTCTGACCATATCGGGGCCTGGGTGAGAATTCCACAGCCTTCGTCGTCTCTAGTGTCCTTCCCATGAATTTTGGAAAAATGAGAATGTTCGGAAATACGAGAATGTAGCAAAGGGAAATAGATATTTAGTTCTAGATATCACAGAGTATCGGTGACCAAAGAAAGACACTCGAGGACACAACTTAGAGAGAGCTTATTAGAGTTATTGGTAATACAGTATATGAACTTTTATTTGACTACTAATGCCCTTTTAGTTGTGCTTAAGCACTAACTCCCAACAGTTTCTTCAGGTCCTTCTGCAATTGTGACAATGAACAAAATTAGAGACAATCCCGGGTGTCTAAAATCAAACGAGAGGTACTGAGTCTATGTGAGACGTTTACCTCGATGCTGAGAGGAGAAGTTGTTGGAGCGTAACGATCAACGACATGTCCATCTTTGTCAACCAAGAACTTGGAGAAGTTCCACTTGATGCCGTCTCCAAAAAGCCCGCCTTTGCTTGATTTCAGAAACTTGTAGACTGGAGCAGCCTTATCACCGTTCACATCAACCTGCGCATTACATAGTGTGAAGCAAGAAATGTAACAGAAACAAGCACGTATATGATCTAAAGATGATTCACTATAACACATAACCAAACTATAAAAAAAAAACTAAAAGAGCTGGCACAATTATCATGTATAGTGTCTGAATTATTCTGAAAGAGTAAGTGTTATCTCATCTTGTTAATACCCCCAAGATGTTTATTATATAAGACTAGCTAGCTTCTTGTAATTGACCACTGGATTAACCAAAAGAAGAAAGAAAAGGTGTTTTACCTTGTCGAATATAGGGTACTCAGCCTTGAAACGGGTACAAGCAAACTGAACAATCTCCTCATTAGAACCAGGTTCTTGATTCCCAAACTGGTTACAGGGGAATGCAAGGATCTCAAACCCTAAAACCACACAATTGTCATTTTCGTATATGGTTAAACAAAACGAAAAACTGATAAAAACAGATTTATACCATGATCTTTGTACTTCTGATAGAGCTGCGCAAGCTCCGTATAGTTCGAATTGGTCAAGCCACTGCACCGGAGAAACTCAATTAAACAGTGAACTTGATTCAGAGATTACAAAAACTGAAAGATTCCAAAAATTTACCACTGAGAAGCAACGTTGACAATCAAGAGAACCTTCCCCTTGTAAGTACTTAGATCAACATCATTTCCCTTAGCATCCTGTAAAAAAAAAGTATAAAATCATCAATTCTAGGTCAATCATTCAAAATTCGGATCTCAAATCTCATCATCAATACATAATTTCCGATTATGATCAGGATCAAACAATCGGTAAGAGATTCGAACCTTGACGGTGAAATCATGGACGGATTTGGGGGCGGAAGTAGCAGCCATGGAATGTTCCGACCTATAAAGTTTTTAGCTCCGATGACGAGAGTTGATAAGCGGTTTACTTAGCAGAATCGAATTTAGATGAAAAAACTCGAACGAGATGATTGGTTCTTATATAGGAGAAGCCGCAACGAGGAACAACGCAACATTCGCTACCGGATTCTTTTCAGATACAGTTAGATTATAAAACCTTTTTTTTTATATTCAGCTTCTTTCTCCGTGTTCACTGGTTGGAGGATGCACGTTACACGTGAATGCTTCTCGAATATGCCACGTAGGCGACGCGTTTGAAACTATCTTTGTGCTGAAGATGTGCGGTCGTAATGTGAACGCTAACGAGATATTTTGGATCTTCAGGTCCTTAGAGAATGTTCAAGGTAAGTTTTCAACTTTTAAAAGGTGTTCAAGGTAAGTTTTCAATATTAAATAATAATAATATTTTAAATGCTAAAATGTTCATTTAGAAAATATTTAAAAAGAAAATCTTTCGATTCAAAATATAAATAATAATAATATCATAACAAATAATATCTTAGATGTAGAAGAGTTATTTAAATAGACAAATTTTTAACGAGGTTACAAACAATTTTAAAAATTATCCATTATCAATAATATCTTTTTTTTTATTCTTACTAATAATATATCCATGTTGAAAATTCGGAATGAGTTTGCTGTAGAGGTGTATTTCTATGTTTCAATTTAAGTTTAGCACTTCCTCTCTTTCTTTTCAATTAAATTTTAAACAGGTTTCAATTTGTGTTTTTTTTTAAACTTGTTAGCAGTGGCGAATCTAGAAATATTTTTTATCGGGATCATACTGTATCACATAACAATATATTATAACAAAAAAAATAAATAAATCTGTCAAATTTTTTTGGCAACAAATCCTGTCATATTTTTTTGGTAACAAATCTTGGCATATTTTTTTGGCAACAAAATCTGTCAGTTATTATTGTTTTCACTATATAAAAGTTTAATAACTAATAAATACTAAGTTAATACCCGTGCATTTGTGCGGGATGGAAATTATATATATAAATTATTTTATGTCTTATTTTTTATTTTGTATTCTTTTATATATTATAAAATAAATAAATATATATATTGAATAATTGGAAAATCTGTAACTATTATATATACAATTAATTTAGTGAGCACTTAAAAGATACATATATGTTTATGGGAGCGAAACTTATACTTTCCCAAGTTTCAAAGATCAAAAGGATCTAAGATATAACACATGACCTCAAGTTGGGTATGTTATTGATTTTTTTTAGTTGAGATTCAATATGAGATTGACAAAAATGTAGTGTTGTCATATCGAATGAGAGAATTAGAGAATCTCATATTCCTAATAAGTGGAATATCCAGAAGTATATTTACACTGGAAATAAACTTGAGAAGTCATTTATAAATAAAACCAGAAATTTTTTAGAATTTTATAATGTTGAGAAAATAAGTAAAGGAGAATGGTGAATACCTTCAATTAATAGTATTACTCAAGGCATTCTTGTATTGTACTACACAATAATTAGAAAATAGAGATAAATGTAATAGTAAACCTGAAGTTTACTGAAAGTATAATGTTTGGCAAACCGGTTATGCCATTCCGGTTTAGCAATGATGCAAAAGATAAACATATGGCCATTCGTTGAAGAACCAGAAGATTCTTATGAATGATCTGCTATATGCTACTTGCTTATAAGGAAATATAAGAATACAGCTTTCACCAGTCAATAAATTTGGAATCTATTTATAGAAGGAACTGTTTGTGGGCTTGATCACCCACTAGTGGACTGATCATATACCATATATTTATAATTAATGAATATATCTTTATAATTAATGAATCGACAAGAAAGTCGTATGTATCCTTGACTAATTGGTAGTACTGGTGAATTTACAAGCTTTTGATGATTATTTTATGCATGTGGGGATACATGATTAACATCTTATAACTAATGCTGCAGTAGCAATGATTTGCATAATGGCACATAGTAATTAAGAACTATCCCCATCAAATTGGTTTTGGATCAGGAACCAAAAGATCCCCATCTCGAAAATTTGTATATGTTATAGTTGCTCCACCACACCGTTAAAATATGGGACCTCAAAGGAGGTTATGAATATGTTGGATACGATCTCTATTGATGATACAATCGAAAAGATTTTATAAGATTTATTGAAAGACTCAAACTTAGTCTATCCAACATAGGGGGGAAAATAAACAGCTAGAAAATCAATTCATTATCATTGATCCTCGGACTAAGAGCGTGAATATAAGACCAAAATGAATGTATAGAGATAATTCTATTATATATTAGCATATATATTAGGTAAATTGAACGTATGGGTTTAAGGGGGGGTAAGAACTAGGGAAAATTGGAAAATTAAGACACTCTCAACTTGTATTTGTCCCTATAAGACTTGTAGAAGATTTTTTGGGAAAATAGGATTTTCAAATCTGTTAATACCATAATACCCTTAAAATTAATCAATTAAATGAAATTATAAATTTAAATTATAAAAAAAGACAAAAAAAACAAGAATCGGGACACATGGTTTAGAGGGAAAATCAATAACCCTAATTTTATTTTGCATCATCTTCTCTGCCGAGCTCTCTCCCATGGCGATTCCGCCTTCTCTCCGACATAATTGTCTTCTGAAATCTTCATCTCTCACCTTCTCTAACCTTTCCGAGTCATCTTTCTCTTCCATCTCACCGAAGAAACAACAAGAAAGAACAAGAAATCCAAGTCTTCTTCCTCAACAATTTTCGTCGGGTCAATTTTTTGTCTGCCACAAAACTCCACTCATCATTGCAACTAGACATCCATACACCGGATTTAACATAGATTAGAACCATCTTGTATTGATAAGAAGAAAAGATGAAGCTTTTTTGATGAAGAATGTAGAACACACAGAGAAAACAGAGAAAAAGATCGTGAGGGAGAGAAAAAATCGTGGACAAAATATTCTGTAAGATATTTAGGAAACATCTTTAACCGAATATGGAAGTTTCCATATTTTGCGGATTACCTAGAATATGTATACTACCTAAGACATAACACAGTAGAAAATGTGGGAAACATATTCTTTCTCAAGCTTCACATAAGGTAACATACAGAATTGATTATTGCACAAAATCTGGATGAGGTATGTCAATAAGTTATGGTTATAAATCGGTATCTAGCTTCACGTACACCAAAGACATATGCCTTGATTATAACGTTACCAATACTACCTTGGTTAGAATAGACAAGAAATGCTATATTACGTTTCATACCTCGGGTTTATCTAGCAAGAACACCCAGTATATGATTTCTAAACTGAGTAAATAACCAGAATGAGTATTCTATCTGTAGCTAGAAGATAAAATAAAATATGATTCCACTTTTAAAAAATAAAAACTTAAACATATATGTTGTCATACTTATGTTTTCTAGCCTTCTCATATTTTTTTCTATTTTTCAAAATTAGTTTACTAGTTTTTTCATTAATAAAGGGTAAAACATGTTCATAATTGCCAAAAGTATGAGAAGTCCTATATAGACAAATAAAAGTTCAAAGTGTCCCAATTTTCCAATTTTCCCTAAGAACTACAACTACTACCACTTGAGCTGAAGATTCTTTAGTGTTTCTTTAACAAAACAAATTATTTTTTTAATTTTACCGGTCAGCTGACCCCTTTCTCCCTTAATAGATCCGCTCCTGTTTGTTAGCAAAAGAGACTATGATATGATACCCTTTATTTGTCTAAATAAAAAAAAAAAACCGAATTGTAGAAATTATCTTTTTGCATTTTGGATTTGTTAGCTATCTTGCAAGAGTGAATAATTTCGTTGGTCAAATCTATAAGCTCACTGAAAAATAAAAATTCTCTACCTCTTTCACAAACAAAAACAAACTTTTGACTATTTCATTTGTCTTCTAGTTGAAACAAAAATGGGGAATGTTGGATCCACTTTTTAAAGTCTCTGCGTGTGGAAAGCTCTTCACAAAATGTTTTCTCGCGTGTGGAAAGCTCTTCACAAAATGTTTTCTCTGATTTATTAATCTTCTTAACTTTCTTATCTTTTTTAATAGATCATCTTACACTTTGATCTCTTTATATAGGTAATAGATGTCTTTAACTTAACCTATTACATAATGATCTAGGAACTTAACTTAAACCTAAATCTATTAGTACTTAGTTTTTCATCTTTCCTTTTTATGAATAACTTGTTTTCTAAGCATTGAAGCTTATCCAACATTCTCCCTTCTAAGCTTCATCTCATTTTTGCTTATGTTGAGAATTTGAATCCCTCATTTAAAAAACTGGATCTTTGCCAATGCATTGGTTAGAATGCCTGTGAGTTGTTCTGTTCCAGGTACATGTTCAATGTTGATTTGATTCCTTTCAACACATTCACGTATGAAGTTAACACATTCACGTATGAAGTGGTATCTCTTACGAATGTGTTTGATTCGGCGGTGGAAGACCGGGTTCTTGGCTGAGGCAATAGCCGATTTGTTGTCTACTCTGATCAAAGTATTCTCAAACTTCCTTCCAGTATTTCACTCATCAAATCTTAGAGCCAAATTGCATGTTTTGCAGCTTCCGTTGCTGCTATAAATTCGGCTTCACATGATGAAAGAGACATTGTTTCTTGCTTCTAACACCATGTTATCAGTGTATCTCCAAACCAAAAGAGATAGCCAGTCGTTTTTTTTCCATCATCCAAGTCAGAGGTGTGACTACTGTCATTGTATCTGATCAAATTTTGCGTTCCCTTGCTTCCAAAAGTTAAGCCATAACTTAGAGTACCTCGTAGATACCGTATTACATGCTTCAATGCATCACTGTGAGACTTGCATGGTGAGTGCATATACCTACTAAGCATTCCAACTTTAAAGGTTAGATCAGGTCTTGTGTGTAGTAGGTACCTGAGGCATCCGATCCATCTATAGAGTGTTGCATTGATCTCTGTCTCATTTGTTGCCTTTGATAGTTTTAGGCCAAA